CTTCTTCCCCCTCCCTCCCTGCTCACCTCCCAGGCCAGCCAGTGCCTACCTCCTCCTGCAAGAACTGCCCGCTTTCCAAAAAGACCAAAAAAACCAAAACCAAAACCAAAAAAACACCCCAAAACCAAAACCAAAAAAACCCACCAAACCCCGAAAACCAAAAAAACAACCAAACCCCGTGTTCTATTAGCAATCTCCCAGACAAAAAACCAAAATCAGCTTCCTGGCTTTAAGTGTCCAGCAATTCATTCAAGAAAAGAATCGTTTCCTTTTTTTTTTTCCCCTCCCTTTAACTATGATGAAGTGCCCCCTGCATACTGGAGCACTAAGCCACCGTGCTTGACATTTTCGGCATCCTTCCTCTAAGGGAGCGAGGGTACTGAGGGGAGGGGGTGGGGAAGCGAGGGTTTAAGACGTTCAGGAAATTTCCACTTAATTTCGCCAAAAGGCAATTATGTGAAATGATCTGGTGACAATTAGCACACGCCAAATCCTCCAGCGTAAAAGGGAAAGAACTGGGGTTTAGCTATCTAATTGCTGCCTGTTAGTTCTTATGCAGGAGAATTAAAAACACTAGTAGTAAAATGTTAGTATTAAGTGTGCTCACACTTTGCTTTCAAAGCTACTGTGGACTGTATTCTTACTGCTATGGTATTTGGGGTGGGTTTGGGGTTTTGTAAGTTAAAAAAAAAAAAAAAAAAAAAGAAACTCGGGGTTTTAAATACAAGTTAAGCGTTGCATCCTTGGACCATGCGGTGTTACCCTAATGTCAGGTCAGACCCAGACAAGCACCTGCTTTGACACAGCGGTATATTGTGAGATCCTTCAGCGTCACTTGGAATGACATTGATGCCAGTTAGGTTTTACCTCACGCATTCTCTCTTTATCAATAACGCATTAAGAAAGCACTCCGCTGCACCCGCTCTGCCTGACCTTGGCGTACGAATTTGGACCCCAGAGTTAGCCCAGCCTGTAGCCCAGAAACTGTGGCCTGCACGTACCCAGCCAAGCCTCACGCTGTATCTCAAAATCGGAGATTATTGGATCAACAGGTGGATTTCCCCCTGCGAGGAGGACAGGGGAGTGCTTAGACTCTTCAAGTTCCAGGCATCGAGCTGCCCAGATCTTTTTCTTCCACTACAAAAGGAGAGGCACAGTTTCTTCCCCAACCTGACAAATACTGGGTGCTTTCTTCGCATATTTTAATTAACTACCAGACAGACAGTATCTCTTTAGAGCAGGCAAGCCTTCCTTCATGTCTAA